CTGTATTGATTAGAGTCTTTGGTGATAATGGCTGCTCAGAAACCTACATCACATGGATACAGCAAGCTGATACCTAAATTCAGGTACCATAACCTGGTATTGATTATCTTTTATTTTACATCTATTTTCATGAATCCAGAACAAAGTATAGAAAGAATGTAAATCTTTGCAGGAATGATACTAAAAAGAAGTCACATCTTCTAGTAGGGAAATCATATAATTTTTTTTCAGTCTTTGTAAGTCAAACCTCAAAATCATTGTTATAATTCAACAACAAAGATGCTTCTCATTCATAATTAAAAAATTTCATGGAAAACATTAATTCAGCACTACTCTAAAACTAGAAGTGTCAAGACAACCAATGGAAATTAGGCATAGAACTCTAATCCTTAAGGACATTCTTCACTTTGAGCATGTATTTAAATCCAGCTTTTTAGAGCAAAGCACATATGCACGTGCTTAAGTCCAACTGACTCTATTTGCATTACTCCAGTGGCATCTTAGCACATAGTTCTGTGCTTAGCGAAATTAAGGTCTAGGGACTAATCCAAAGATTCCCCAATGAATACCATGGCCTAGAAGTCCTGTTCTATTTCTATTAGACACCTCTTTGGAAATGCAATTGCTTTATTATTGTTTAACGCATATTCAATCTTTTACATAATAATATTATTTTAACAATCCACTTAAAATTCAAATACTTTTGTCAAACTATATATTCTACCTTGCCTGAGCATTGCTGGGGTCTTCCTTGATCACAGCTGTAAAATCCTGAATAGCTGTAGTCAACACTGAATGGTCAAAGAAATGTATTCCATGTTTCATAAGTGCATCTGTTCTTTTGGGGTTATACTGAAAACACTATAATGAAAGAAATAAAGTAATACATGGTGTTATTCCTCATTCTTATTATTTCTAATGAATAAAAGTCTTAGCCAAGCACAAAAAATAATATTCTTTTATTCTCAGATTTTCTATTATATTCCTTTGTCCTTTAATGTCTACTGTCATTTCCATTAACTGTAGAGAAATAAAAAATAAGCGATGCAAGCTTATTAGTGGCTGATAATTTTTAGACATTCAGTAATTTATTGAATTAGTCAGCAGGAGTAACAGAAATTACTTATTTATTTCCATAGCACTGATTATATTTTTTTTAAACATAATTTATTTGAACGGATAGTTGTTCTCCCAGCTACTATCCAAATACAGTTTACTTTTACTAAAATTACACAAAGTTACTACATTTTGTAACAGTACAAGAAATTGAACTTACTTTGGCGTAATCATCCATGGCCAATAACAACTTATTTTCCTCAAAATACAGCTCAGCTCTCCTAAAATAAATGTCGTCATCTGTAGGGCAGCATTGTATTGCAGAACTATAATTGATGATTGCCAATGTATTATCACCTTGTTTCCTGTAAATTTCAGCCATTGACAGGTATGTATCTGAAACAACCACCCAAAATATAAAAGGCATTATTTAGCAGCCCAAAACAATAAGTCATCTCCTCCTTACAGAGTAATTAACACAAGCAGTAGACATACAACAGTAGATTATACAAAAGGTTGGGAAGTCCTGTTTTAATCTGAGCAAGAGAACTCAAAAGTTTAGAGCTATATCTGTGTGCTCAAGCATGGAGCCCGTGCAGCTGTAAACTGATAGCTCTTCCTGGATTCACAGGTATGACAAATCTGCTCTCTGTAGAGCTCTGCAGAAATGGCCCATCAAGCCAGTTAGTAGACCTGTTGATCACTAACAAACAAAAAGATTTAGTTTAAATGAGCCAACACAAATATTTACCCCACTCTACTGGATCTGGTCAGGATAGAGTTAACTTAACTGCCGGTATTGTGCTGTGAGGCTAAAACAGTGTTGATTACACAACATTTTAGCTCTTGCTGAACAATGTTTGCACAGTATCAAGGCTTTTCCTCTGACCATTGCCTCCTGTTTTGCCACATGTGTCTCAGAAGAGTCTGACTCTGTCTTTTCTCTTAGCACCCATTATGTAGCCGATTTCCCTCTTGCCTTCTCCAGGCTAAGTAACTCATCTCCCTCAGCCTTTCCTTACACAACTTCGACTCTAGACCCCCGACCATCTTAATGCACTCTCTCCAGCTTCTCATTCTCATACCAGGGGTTCCAAAAATGGACCAAGTATTGGAGGTGCAGCATCACAACCTGGCAGAGAGGAATCACTTTCACTGACCTGCAGGGCCTGGTCTGTCAACTAGGTGGTATCTTTCCCTTTTAAGCTCCTTCCCAGTTCAAAGGGTATGGCAGAACAGGGCTGACTGACGCACAATAGCACACTGTCTCTGTTACAGGATTATTATCAGCTTTACCCATTAAATTAATGGATAAAATTTCCATCAGTCCTCCTTTTTTCTTTTTTTTCTTTCATTTTTTTTAAAAACACACTGAAGTTAAGTAGTTATTTTTGCCTTAGAAACCCAACTTCTGTCCCAAACCTTTGAATATTCATGTCTGCTTTACAATCTTTTTATAAAATGGATAAAACAACTAACGTAAGGTTAAGAACATACAAAAACCTTTGCAAAACTAGGACCAAAGGCAACCAGAGAAAAGCACTATGAAAAATTAACTGTTAAGTTACACTTCAATAGATACTTACCTGCTTTATTTTTGCTCCATTTAGTTATAAAATTCAGGTCACCCAAAGCAGCAGAAATTCTGTCTTGAAAGAGGTAAATCAAATGTCTATGCCAGTAAGCATTAAGCAGTAGTGGTTCTAAGCTTATAGCCTATAAAAATAATAAGTAAATAACCTATTTATATAGGAGAAGGAACAACAGTACATAGGAAATTAGAAAGTTTTTGCACGGAAGTGAATTTTTTTTAAGAAAATTCCTAGGCTGACAAACTTTTATTTAACCTGAAAATCTGAAAAAAAAATTACTAATGTCAGTTGTTTATTCAAAAGCATCGTGTACTTACACATATGCAGAATGAGAGTCCAAGCTACCAGTATATTCAGCATAAAATATTAACCACTTGGGATATTACCATGTTTGATGATTTCTTTAAAATAGTTATCTGAACTATATCTAGAAGTCAGAATTCTTCTGTGTGAAAGTAAGAAAAAATTAACCTGTCCTTGTGAAAAAGGATTCAGCTTTTCAAACCATGCTGTTATGGTTCCTATAGAAAGTACTTAACAGTCCCTAACAAAAATCACTTGACAGATATTATCAATCAAATAAGATACTTCACATATGTTCATTATGCATATAACACACACTTAACAGCCCTATGGAAACAAATATACAGACTGATACAAATCTGAGACTGTTCTGGTACAACAGTAATTCTCAAATTTTGGTACATAAACTATTTCTAGGATCCATAAACTATATAACAATTGTGTTCATATATCTTAAAAAGAAAAGTCAGTGATGTTTTCACTAAAATACACAATAGCAATGGCAAGCAATTTTGACAGTTGATGTCAGCCCATTGGTCAATGAACCACTTTGCCGTGGTGTAGAATCCTTAGCCCTTCAGACCCTTGACAGTCTGTTTCTAAAGACTGGGGTGAATAAAAAGGACACAAGATAATCACTGAGTTTCTATGAATATAGTAATTTTTTTTGTCAGATAATTTATCTGAAGTTTGGAAGATAATATATACAGATTGCAGATGCATAAAATAGGTACCTATGTCCCCTCAAAAATAAAAATTATAGATTTATCCCCAAGAGAAGCATTAACAGAAATGGTGTTATAAAAGTAAATTTCACCCTAAGACAATCTGAATATTGGAAAAGACAAATTCTAGAAACAGAGTAAAATCTGAAGGGTCAATTGCACTGCAGGACACACCGTGAGCCTCCTTAAAATTGAGACTGTTAGCTGAAAGGAATGCAGAAACCAACACGAAGCCATTGTTTTGTTCCTCTGCACATTTCCAAATATTTCAACTGAGTTTTGCATTTTAGCAAAAGAAATGCTATTTACATTACTTAAAGGTGCCTGTTGTTAAGATTGTGTTCAGGGACACTGGCAGATTGATGGTGTTCTACTCCCACAGAGCAGTATCAGCACAAGAGATCTGGATCACGAACCCCAAAGCACCTGCTTCTCTCAACACCTAATGCTGTGTTAAGAGCTGAGATGTTCATTAAGGAAAGAAGGACATCTTCTGCTGTATAACGTTATACATAGGATGAACTGCTTAAGGGTCTCAACCTGGTTATGAGTAGCTGTGTGTAATACAGATGTTAAATGACAACGAAAATATCATACCGGAAGTACAGCACATGACCCAGGTTTCACAAACATAGGAACTATACCATTGCTTAAAGAATGCCTTTGAAAGCTTTTACAGCTTCCACATTTAAATTATAGACTTTAAAAATACTCTTTTCATTTCCGTTTTTTGGGGGGGGAATGTTTTTATTCTGTTTTGATTGTTTCTTTCTAGTGGTGCAGGATCTTGGGTAGAAGTAATAGCAGGTTTGTAGCAATATAAAGGGAACTTAAAAGTGTTGAAAAAATAAACATACATGGAAAAACCCTAGTATTGTTGTATAAAATCTTAGTGTCAAGTGATAGTTTAATTATAACCAGGAAAGACATTAGTTTTCAATTTATTTGCTTACCATGCCTATGCAGAAATTAAAAATATATTTGTCAGCTTTGCCAGCAGAAAAACTTGAAGCAAACGACTTTGTCGTTTTTGTCTATTCTATCTCCAACTCCATTTAGGAGCGTTGTATCCTGAGCAAGGCTCTCCAAACAAACATTATGGTGCTCAGAGAACTCTAGGGTAAATAAACACAGTTTATTTAGAAGGGCCTTCTTCATTCTTGTGGGACTAAACTTGGATCATGCTATCATACAAAGGTAAAAGGTGGCAGCATTCAGCTAGTTATCAGCTCTCCTGCTTCTAGTTCTTCACCTGTTGAACAACTCAGACACTCAAAAAAAAAAAAAAGTACTTGATAGAAGTAAAACTTCATGTTAAACTTACTTTTTCCAAGTCATCCATAGCTGACTTTAACTTGCCTAACTTTCTTTGTATTGCTCCACGCCTGCAGTAGTGAAAAGCTGAAGGATGATCTTCGTTTTCTATTAGCTTAGTCAGTCGTCTTACTTCTTCTTCTAAATCTTCAATACTAACTGTTGCACCTTCAAGAAGAACAGGCTGCATTGAGTCAACTAATTCTATTTGTAGATTTGCTTCTTGAGAGTCCACCGTCTCAGTTCGTTTTAGTAATTCAGTATCCTTTTTCTCAGAAGCAGTCCCACAAGAAGGGAAAGTTTCATCAAACCAGCAGTTCCATATTTCATGGACCCACATGTGAGCAGAAGTTTCTTTTGGAATTCCACCCCTCATTTTTGCAAACTTTTCAAAATCTAACAAACAAGGGATGCTGTGGCTCGGATACTGTTTGGTTGTTGAAGACACCTTGATACTGAATTTATCATGAATAGGAAGCCTTCCCAGAGACACAGACCTAAGGAAAAATATATTAAAATTAGCTAAAGGTTCCCAGATACATTAACTATATCAAATTGCAATCTGCCAGTCAACAACTATTCAAAAAACTATTGTTAGATCTCTTGTTAATGATAATTTTTTAACTTATCAGCCATTTATCAAAATCCATTATTGAAGCAAAATTGTTCTGAATGATTCATGTCCCCAGAACGTTCAGCACTTATCCGTAGTTGCATACTTATTTCCTCCAGAAGCTTCTAATTTAGGTTTTCAAGGACAATAAAAAAGGACAATAAGAAAGGACAATACTTCTGAGTGTACAATTACCAGCACGGCTAAATGATGATAAATCCTAGATGGATGAATATATCAATGATAGATCCCAATGATATCAGGAAGAGGCCATGAAAATATAAGCAGAAGAAGCACCACCCAGAGGTGGAAAAAAAACACTTGCATTTACAAGGACATCTACAAAATGATAATCTGGGAAAATTCATAGCTTCCAAGATGAGCCTGAACAAATGTTCAATATCAACGTCTGCTTTGAGACATCAAAGTGAGAGTAACAGAAGCCTTTAACACAATCTTTATCACAAATACTAGCCTTGCTAACACAGAAGGGAATACAAGAAAGAAATGCAGGGAAAATATGTTATACATATATATATTTGTAGCACTATGTACCTAATATTTATACAATTTTATAATAAGGATCCTACTAGAAAAAAAAGGGAAATTACATAAAAAATGTAGCAGCCCAATGCATTAATGACATGCAAAATATTACAAAGATGAAGTCCACTTGGTTAAGCAAAACTGATATGAGAGCCTCAGACAGCAAAGAACATACAGTACCCCAGTCTAAAGCAAGACTTTGCAAAAAGGCCATCTTCTCCCTTAGTCACAGCTCACTATACCAGTATATCACACCATTTGAGTACCTTTGATTTTCTTAAGAATAAACCTACTGCAAGGTGCCCAAAAGCAGAAAAAAATGAGAAGCTGAATGGAAAACTGGCTTGAAGGACCAGGCCTGAGCATCAGTGTAAGCACAATGTGGACACATATGACTGTACACAAAAATAGACAACGTTTGAGGTTTTTTTGCAGGTCACACTTTAAGCATAGGAATTTAAGAAATATCAAAAAACTAGCAAGAACATTAATTTTTTTTTTTATACTTGCATGTTTTCTAAAGTACCCCATATCTGAAGTAACTAATAAATATTCACTAAAAAAAATATGTAGAGTGATACATGAAAACAAAAGGAAAAAAGCGAACTACTTGTTTGATGTAATCTACAAAGTTCATGGTACAAAGCAGGTTAGTCCAGCCTAGCATTTCTGTTTCCTAGGAATTTAGGATTTCCCCCTTGTCTTTCAGAAGAAAGAAGTTTGACCATTTTAATCATGCATTTAAACTTAGATAAAACTTTTTCGGTTGTTGCATGAAGCAACACCATTTCCATTTAAAGTGCAGTACATACTAAGTGTCCTAAAGATACCTGAGCAGTATGTATTTTTTCTTTGCATTAAAAAATATATATTATTCCCACATAACTAAACTATTATTACTTAATTTCAGGGCAACATTTAATATTTCAAAATATAAAACCTGTAATTAGATAATACGGCTACAAACTAAAATACATTCTTTAAAAAGGCTATACACATTAATTAAAAAAAAAAACCTTTTAAGAATCTTTGGGGGTATACTTAATTTCTTAATCACAGCTTCTAATTTTCTAGGATTTATTATTTTCTTTGATTTCTTTGTTTTCTTTCTTCTTGGGAAATCAGTGTATTTAATCCCAGCCTTTTGAGGTTGCTCCACAAGAACAATGTCATTCTCACTATCCTCTTGTCCAGCCAAAGTAGGCATTTTTTCTGCTGGTCTGTCTGTCTGCATTGACTGAGGATCATCACAGATTTGATTCAATAGATGCTTGGTAGGGGAACTTTTCCCGATCTCTGTCTCAACCTCTGGCTCAGTTATCTGTTGCTTCATAACCTTCAACTCTTTCATGCTGGTTTTGAAATTAGATGACATTTTTAACGTAATTTCATCTTTGAAAGCAGTCATCTCCGGCGCTGAGACTGATCTTTTAATCAAACTTGTCTGTTAATAAAAGGAAACTTAATTTATTTAGATGTTCATTTGAAATAAGATTTATATATCACATTTCCTTAGTTTTAATGGACTTGATTTTATTTTACATAAAATTGTAAAGGAAAAAGAAAAGTGACATGGTAACTACACTGTTGGAAAAAAAATTACAGTATTTAATGGGAAAAAAGATCTGCATACTTCAGGTTATGTGTCAAAGCAAAGAGATCTGAAACATTAACTCAAAGTTATTTGAAGCTCATAAACAGCTAAAATCACAAGAAATTTGAATTAAATACCCCCAGCTCCTGTAGGAAAGTTAAATTTTAAAATTAAAAAAATGACATTTACAAAAAGATGAACTGAGATATATTCATGAACTCAGAAGAAAAGACAGGAGAACTCTGTATAATGTTTGGAAGTCCAATTGTATTATGTGGAAACATAGTTAATATGTGAATGGAATTATGCCCATTTACTTTGTGCCCCTATCCCTGAATCACCTGAACCAAAAGAGTAACTGTTATCCTCTGGTGTGTAATTGTTATTAATTATTAAGTAAGTATTATTTGCAATAACAAATGGATTGCTTCCCAGTCTTTTTGTTAATTCCAGTTTACTGACTTGCACTATAATACTAGGCATAACACATCTTCGTCAAAGAAATTAAAACGCAATTTCATGGCCACTGCCTGAAATTTACAGACAGAAACGCTTGTTAATAATAAATAAAAATAAATGAAAAAATAAATGAAGCATTGAATAATTTTGAATCATTTTTAATTAGATACAAAGAAACATTTTCGCAATGCTTGGTTACAGACATCTGCTAAGAATTATTTAATTTATATATTTATTAGAAAGACACTGCATCAGCCTTTAGTTTATTTTAGTAATCATTTAAAGCACTCGATTTAAGTAACTAAATACCTTTCATTCTTTATTTGTAGTAATGCATTACACCCTGTGAGGTTTTGAAAAGATACAAAAAATCTCAATGTCACAAGTGTGCCACGTTTCTTTAGGAAAATTATATTTTAAAAAAATCTAGGCTTCATATTGATTTATTAATAAGCTGAAACTCAATGTAAAGCTGTCATTTATCACTACGTGTATGTATCATTAGGTGTCATTTATCACCAAATCAAATAGTTTGACTGCAAATTGCATAAATACTGAATTACTACTTGCTAAATTCTTTTAACGAACTATGCGTAGTTTTGCTAAAGGATCGCTAGCTAAAGTCAACAAGACTACTTCTATTTGAATATGAAACTAGTATTTTAAAAATCAAGCATCAATGGTTAGTTCAAATTGCAAATACGGTGTTTAAATTATTTTGTCATCGCATACAAACTATTGCCATGCTTCGTGTCCGTTTTTAAAATAACATGGTCACAACATTTTAAGCATGTCCTTATGGACTATCTAGAAGTTTTAAATAAATACATACTCCTCAAATTATTACAGAAAATCAATTTTTTTAATAAAATATTACTTGTATAATGCTATCAAGGTCATCTTTGCACAAGTATAAAATTTGCACCATTTATTGCTGCTTTATGTATTTTGTTTAAAAGCTAACTTCAATAGCCATAAAAGTACATAGCAGTTTACAGACTGGAAACTTGACAACATAGATGCCCTGATGTGTCTGAAATCCAAGGACCTGATACCACAAAGCTTTACGCAGATATGTTGTTCCACTCATTTTGAGTTAGCTAGAGTACAGACTACTCACACTTATCTCTATCCAAATGCCTGTGAAGTTAACAGGGGTTCTCATTGCAGAGCTACGTTCTCCTATTTAATGTTAACCAATTCACTTGAAAAAGACCTTTGAGACTCTCACTTTTGCATCTAATAGGAAAATATTAAGTTCAATTCAGTTCAGTGGAAGAATTTCTTCCACAAAATCACAATTCAGGAACAAATACAAGTAAATATAAAATAATACCTCTGAGCTCTCACTGTCAAAAAAATTGGGCAAGGATTGGCATCTTCTCAGTAAACTTTTTGTCTATAGATAAAACAAAAAGCAAAATAAGTCTGATTTAGTCTGACAGGAATATAAATAGAGCTTTCTGATACATTCTGCTTTTAAAAGCAGACTGCGAAAAACAGCGCTAATGTCCAAAGAAATATGTATTTTCACCAAAAAAAACCAACCCCAACTTTACCAGAGTGAAGGAAGGATTGTATTTGTCTGGATTTATGGATGTCTTAAACACATTCCACTGCCAGACATCCAAAAATCCAAGACACATTCAACATACGTAGATTAATGCTGAAGGAGCAAGCACAGTCAGTGGACATACTCTATATATGTGCTATCGATGCTCCAGTCTCAGAACACACTATGAATATGCCATACTGTTGATGTCATTCCAATGAACATTTTTTAAACTGGACACTTCTTAAAAGTGCCATACATGACATCAGTCACACACATATTCCTATCTTGGGAATCCCAGACAAAAAAATGGCCACATAACATCACCACAACAATAACTTCCAATGAGAATATTACTTCTTCCTGAGAATCTGTACGTGCTTCATCTGTTTTTAATTGTTGTTATTGATAGACCTACTTGTATCACAGTAACAGTTTTCTTTTTCAGTAAAAGAGATGTTCCCAATAGGTCCACACATAAACATGGACTAAAATACAATATTTTAGTAACTGCAGACTTTATTACTTCCAATTATTATATCTAATGGCCCAGTCAACCTGCAGGCAAAGGCACTTTTCACCTCTGCTGGACAATTCCAAATCAGTTTATAG